AGTTGGAACATTAGACAGATCAGACGCCGTTGCTATCAATTCAAACCAGCTGGCATTTGAGGATCCTTCAATTAAAAAAAAAATATTGCTCTTATCGCGACACATTTCAGCAGTATACCCGATGCAACTGAAAACTTGAAATCAATAATCTTCCTCTGTGCAAGTCTTTGGAAATATTAAAAAATATGATTGAACAAAGTAACGCCCTTCCCAGTTCAATATCGCAAAAGGTTCGTGGCAAATTAAATAAAGTTTTGTATAGAAACCCCGATCTTGACCCAATAAAGAAAACTGACGCATTCATCAACAGTACCGGACAAACTCTTCCTGAAGAAGTCTCTGTAGAAATGGCGCCAAATTTTAAGTACTGTCCGGTAACGTCAGTTGACGTTGAAAGGTCATTTTCGGCCTATAAGTTGATATTGAATGATAAACGTCACAGGTTTGCTGTAGAAAACCTGGAATATATATTATTGTTTACTGTTACAAAAATATAGCACTGAATAATAATATGTTATATTTTTATAATTTTCCTTATCTTTTCAATAAATTTATAAAATAAATGTAAATTCTAACTATAAATGGTTTTTTGATTGTGCATATTTCACCCTTTTTTAGTGCATATTTTGGCATTTTAATAGTGCATATAATCCGATGTCTAATTATAAGTATGTAATAATGCAGCGCAATAGTTCAAAAGTGGAAATGTCGTAATAATTCCAAAAATATCGTTGTCGAATTCCCTACCAATTGATTCACACCAATCCAGCAGTCTTGTTATGCTACAAGGCGGCAAACATACCGTCAAAACTTTAGCTTCAAATCGTAAGTGTTCCCCTTAAGATGCGCAAGAGCATTGCAACACTTTGATTAATAAATCCACTACACGCCCGGCGACCTCTTTACTGACCTTCTCCAATACGAGAACGGAGGTCGCACATCCCAAACGAGACACGTTTCCGTCATACAATTTAATCTTCTTCAAACATTCTAATCCTTATACCTACATAACGTAGTGAATAATTTTGGCAAAACCATAGGTAATTAAAGATAGTATATAGTGATATGGTAGGTACCATTACTTGTTAAAATCCAGAATTTAACAACATACTGACACGTGTATACTCCTGTCAGGTCCTGGGTAGCTTTGTCGTTAGAGAAGTCACCCGGATGGCGATAGGTTGCGGGTTCGAATCCCATCTCACAGTACCTGGGGCCTACACTTAGGTTTTAAGCGTTTTTCATTAAGAATATTTTCCAGTATAACATACTTATTTCTGAGGAAATGGAATGAATTAGGAACAAGGGATGGTCATCTTACTTTGCCCTGGGTATCCTAGCCTCGATATAATAATAATAAACTTTAAAAGTATAGCAATACATTTTTAATCATTTTAATTGAAAACATGTCAGCCTATATCTTGAATAAAACCTAGTTTTTACCCGACTGCGCGACGCAAAGGAGGGTAATGTGTTTATCAGTCTATGTATGTATGTATGTTTGTTTCTATGTGGCGTTCTAGAGACCAAATGCGTAGGCCGATTTTGATGATTCTTACGTCAATCGATTCGTCTTAACCTTGCGAGTGTCACTAAAGACATGACAGTAATCAAAATTCACCACAGGGACAACCAGACGCCATATTGTCTAAATGAAAAAAAATAAAATTGATGAACTATGTCAAGTGGAGTGTCGTTGAATGGGTATTTTAGAATCATCTTTAGGTTCCTTTTATCATTTTTCATTTTAAATGATAGTTTAGGATATATAACGATTTAAAGTTGTTTAACAAAATTCTCATTAATTCATTCTCGCTAATTTTCTTACTTATTGATTAAAGTTTTTATTTAAAGTATAAACGATGTACAAACAAAAAAAAACAGTGAAAAAGCATGAAGAACAAATATTTTTGGTAAAAAAATAAAGCATATGAAGCTTTGAGCCGAGTTAGCTCTCTAGAGGGAATAATCATCAGTAGTTTAGACCACCGCAAGTTACTTGATAATCCTACGATATTAACTCCCTCAATGAAATAACTTAATTGCGAAATTTACCATCTTATAACGAAGTCAATGAATCGTAACTAAAAAGTATAAAATTAAAAGAAAAACAATAATCCCTACTGCGTAAAACCGAATTTAAAAAAAATACTTGAAATAATTAACTTAAATAAAAACTAAAAAGAAAGAAACAAACCCAGTAGTTTGGAATTCTGTTAAGTAATACAGAACAGAACGACTCATAGTCAGGGCCCCTTGGGAAGATTTGATTGGTAAAATTTGAATGGGCCCCGACTATGAGTCGTTCTGTTCTGTATTACTTAACAGGATTCTAAAGTACTGGGCTTGTTTTTTTCTTTTTAGTTTTTATTTAAGTTAATTCTTTCATGTATTTTTTTAAATTCGGTTTTACACAGTCGGGATTTTTGTTTTTCTTTTAATTATTTATTTTTAAATTCTTTTCCTTGTTTCACATTAGAATTATATTACTTTTAATCAAGTGTCATCAACAGCCTGTTCAGAGACAGCACGCATTCTACGGGAATGCAACAGAGTGATAAATTACTAGGCAATTTAATAAAGATCACAAACAGGCCTACCATATAACTGAATAAACCTCAATTTGGTTGATTCAATATGTTTGTATGTAAAACAACAGTACTGAATTTTCAGTGTCGTTCATTTAGATATGCAGTAAAGGGCTAGAAAAAAGAAAACCAATTAGATAAGAAGTTTAACTAGATACTCACAATAAGTAGGACCTTCTCTTCATCCAAATGGTTCACTCATATTTTTAAAAACACTTCCTCAAATTAATATTAGTACGGGCCATAAATTACATTTAAGTTTTCTCAATTACATAACTATTGGTTTAGCGAAAGAAATTAATTTTTCTGCCTTTGTTGTAGAATTTTTACATTTTTAAATTATATATTTGCTAAGTGACTATATTTAGATGTTTATTCTTGTTTGATGATCTATAATAGAGTAATAAACTTAAAGATATTGGTAGCAATTCTATTGCACAAACTAAATTTAGGTTTGGTTCAGTCAAATTGTGTTTGCAATTGAGAAAAAAAAACAGACATAAGACTTATTTTAATACAGCTGGTATGTATTACATTGTTAAGTGATGTCGCATAACTCAAATCTGTCTTATAATACAAAGACTTCTAATACCAGGTTAAAACCATTATCCATACAAAAAAGCCAACATATCTCAGTTTGAACTTTTCTCTTCTGTTATCATCAATTTAATAATAATAAAATTTATTTATTCACTAAAACCCAAAATTTTACATACAGTTGTTTCTATTAAGTACAGGGCAAATGCTTAATTTAGGTTTTATATATATTGCTTCAGGTTATAGATCTCTGACCCCGAAACTAGAGAATCTGTATTATCAGGGCCAGCCATTCCTCAGTAAGTTGTTTATAAAGGAATGTGAATTAAGGACGCTTCATACTGAAAAACTTAAGATAAGCAGGGTAAAGGTCTTAAAAACTTTAAACTTGCTTTTGATGGCTAATGATATAAACCAAATACTAACTTTAGTCTCTGTTTTATAATAAGGGAGAAATGAGTTTTAATGTTCATTATCATTATCGTTTCTATCTTATCACTTACTATCAATACCAAATAAAAAAGTTAGAATATTGAAAAAATATCAAAATTTATATTTAACACCATAAACACCAATGAATTTTACTTAAATTATAATTTTTTTTATTATAACCATATTTAAAATAAGTTTGTTAAAAATGAAACTAAGGTATAATAGTTTAAAAAAAAAAACTTAATCACAGATGAAAAACAAAAATAAATAAATTATTAATAATTTGATAAATACTTGAATAGTCGATATAAATGATATCAAGGCGAAGATTAATTATCTAACTTCTAGGAAATTACCATTGTAAAGTTAGTGTTCTAATAGCATGATTTACAGTGTATAACTTGTTAATCATGATCAGTGTTAAATAATATTTATTGAATAAGCAGCCTTACTATGACTGTTGTTAGATATTCATTTAATTACAAAAAAATATTTACATGTAGAAATTACTCAAGTTTTAGAGAATTATGAAATATACCTCATTATGTCACTTAAAGCTTTTAGAGAACAACACTTTTTTTTAAATAACACTAAATTTTAGACCTGTTAAAGTTTATTTCCATTCAATTTTCTTTATTTTTCATTATTCCAAGTCACGTCATATAAATTTTCATTCTAACGAATGTCAAAAATATTATACGACTAATAATAGTGTCACTTTATTGCAAGTTGGTGCCTGCTGCAAAACAATTGTTCAAGTCGGCCGGATAATAAAAAGTTTCGCACAGTAAAGTTCTATTGCCGCCGTAAAAAGTAAGAAATTGCGTTTAGTTTTTTATGTTACGCAATGTGCGTTTTGATATCAGGAAATAGATTAAAAAAACGCATGTTACTCTAATCGATTAGCGCTAAAGACCGCCTTCCGTCGGGAGCGGCCTTCTAATACTGTCCACAGACTTAGTAGGTATCAGACGACCAACTTCCTAACAAAAAATTTCTTCGTAGAGCGTGATTGGGAGCCAGTGATACATGACAGCATCATTCGTTTTAAATATACAGACCTACTATCGGCAAAGGCATTTAGCTATACAGCCCTGTTTTGGGTAGGTACCTAGCCGTCTTCCTAGTTTCCACATTATTTTTACTTTAATTTAAATTCCTTTTTTGTTTTAATACAACAATAACAATAAAGGAGACTGATAAGTCTAGCTTATTATTATTGTTGTATTAAAACAAAAAAGGAAAAACGAACACGTAAATGAAACACACATTTTTCCAATATTATTTATTGAATAATTTATTTTTTAACTTATTATATTTTACACAGCTTTCTTCTGCATTCTCGGCAATTCTTAGCTACATTTTTTTAGTGGCACAACCTTATGAAACTTTTCAAGGTAATCACATTTTTTTTAAAGAGGGCACTGATATTTTTTTATAAACTTATTTAAGTTTTTCTAAAATTTCAATTGCCTTTGGCCAGAAAGAATGATGCTCTTTTCCTTTATGCTTTTTTTTGTTTATCGATGCTCCATGGACACTATCAAATAATTGGTCAAAGAATGAAACAACTTCAGCTGTATTTCTTAATGTTGTGCTGACGGGCCTACTATCCACATAAGTTGCTGCAAATTAAAATATTCATACAATAATTGTATGAAACTTGATTCAAAACTATTAACTGTTAGTAAATTTCATCTAATACTCACAGAAATTTGCAGTGTAAGACAAAGCTGCAGACATATTTTTACACAATTTTTTACCTGCAAAAAGAGATATCATATTTAAAATTATCTTCATTAGAGAATCATTATTGTAATTTAAGTGTAAACTATATTAACTACTTGTTACATAATTAAAAATACAAGTCATTGAACCAACACTTGCTCTGATAGAGAATATAGAAGCTGAATACAAATTATTTCTTTTATTTATACTAATTTAAGTTATACTAATATAATAACCAATGCATTACCTTCATCATTTTAATTTTATCAGGTATAACTCATTGGTCATTTAATTTATGACGTAGTCCAGCTTCAGTGTGTTGACAGTCTGTCTCATAGACATAAATAATATCATGCCATTTTGCAAGTTTAATATCCAATATTAAATTTTTTGTTAAAAAATTGTTCCTGATGCATTTTATCAAGTGTGCAGAATCATAATGTTCAAATCCACCCCACATATTTTAAGAATGCCAACTGAAACAAAAATTTAAGAACTTCTTAAAACATAGATAACTATATAAAAATAGGAACCTTCACTACTTTCATTAAATCTATTAGTTTTCTTTCATATAAATATAATTCTCTGTACCAACCTGTGATTTCAATTTAAAATTTGATCACACTAAGTGTCTTCTTTTAGATTTTTGAGTGCTGATTGGAAAGCTGAGCCTTGGTCATATATTATTGCGATGGGATTAAGGTCCAATTCAACAACTTTTTCTACTACTAACTTTTATTATACGAAAGTGCTGTTTCTAATGACATCTCATCAAATATAATGGAGCATATTTTTTGGAGTTTCATTTGTCCACCTGAAAAAATAAATTCAAATAGGTAGGTACATATTATTATTTGGTAGTTATACAAAAAATTATAAAAGTAGTATGAAAAACCTTATATGGAATATATTTACCTCTTACATGAAGCCTGGTTCTATGATCGATTTTCTAATCATAGTATTCAGTGTAGTTTTAGATAATAAAATAAAAAATTTTGTTTAAAAATCAATAACACTTTGGACTATGCTTTGATATTGATAAAGCAATTATCTTTTCTTCGGTAGTGAATCACCTCTCATGTTTATTTTTAGAGCACATGCTCACTTGCATTTCAAAAACGTTTTTTGCAACTGTGTTCATTTTCTGTTGGAACTTTTCAAATGATAACTTTTTACAAAACTTAACGGTATTTAAGTATTCTTAACTTTATTATGAAAGTTCAACTACGTCTTTGGCTTGTTATATTCTTCATAAATTCTCTGGTATAAAGGTGACAATTGGCTTTATTTGGTAATAAGCCTTTTCCTTTTTGTTTGGGTACATTTCACAGGGTCTGTAACATCAAAAGTATTCAGTGAATTTCTCTATTAGAACTACTATTTGATTAAAATAAAGATACACTAAAGAAAGAGACAGGTCCTACCAGATAATTTAGTTTGTTTCATATTTTAATCTCCAGAGCAAGCTACTAATTGAGTAAACTCAGTGGCTGCAGACACGGGAGTCTCAATTTGTTCTTTTAAAATTACACCACCTACGAAATCAATATTATGTGTGTAAGATTAAAAAACAGGATATAATCTTAGATGATATTAGAAATATGTTATTTATATTATCAATTTATTCTCTGATCAAAATCACTTCTAGCTTGCCCGCTAGAATTAAGTAACTTAATGTCATTTTTCTTTATGTGTGTAAGAAAGAGAGATCTACTAGACTTTTTTAAAGCAAAAATCTATATTAAAATACACCAAAACTGCAGCATGAACTTTGTTATCTAAATAAAATAAATTAAAAACAAACCTCTGTTCAGTTCCACTTTCTAATATGTGTGGTCAACACGACTTTTTCTTGCATAGCTGTGTTCCCAAGTGAATATAATTTCTGTAATAACAAAAAATTGTAATGAAGAATAGCGGTATTCCAAAACACAACATAAAGTGAAGATACATATCATTTTAACTAAATTATCTAAAGGTAATAGCAGATTAAACCAGCCTTACCAGTATTGCTTGAAGAGGGTAGGCTGATTGAGATCATCATTAAACAATGACGGATATGCGTCACCCAAGAGTCGTGATTTTGGAGTAATGAATCTTGGTACAACGTGTTTGCTACAAATGACACTTCTGCCTGTATTCAAATTTTCAGTATCACACACAGCACTAAGACATTGTAACCACTTGGAGAATCTTTTCTCGTTCACTAGAATCTTACAAAGAATAGCGTCCTGTTCGTACTTTAACAATGCGTGTAACACAACCATAACACAACACACCAATTTCCTAGGCATCTTCTACAAAGAAAAATACTTCGAAAAAAGGAGAGTTTATATTACAAATAAAGCGAAGAGGGTAAGCACAAACGAAACTTTACTCAATCACTCGTAATTCCCTGATATGTAGGTACATACTTTAGTCTTCTTCTTCTTTTATTAATGGCATATCTGCGCATTTCACATAATTTTGCCAATGTGAAGTGAATGAATCTATAATATATTAATTCCAACATGTAAAATGAAAATGAAATGAATTAAAGATTAATTAAAACATTAGTATCTTTACTCTTTGTTGTAATGACAGTTTCTGTCAGATGTCATGTCTCCATCTACTGACAGGGGTGAGGGGCGTGTGGAAATGTCATACATCACTGGACCCCTACGCGATTGGTTTCTTGTACGGAGTTGACGGGCCGTGATACTGTCTGTACAAACGACTAAATATTAAAATGAACGCTATCCACCGCTCGCCGTGGCCGGTTTTGCGTACTGTACCGCAGATTACCTTTATACAGTGAACATACAATGCTATTATAATTGCGGTTGCAATTAATTACGGATACAAATCGCTACTGTTTAGAGGCCGAATCAACTGGTATTTTTTTTTTTCACTGTTCTATGATCCATGAAATATTATAAATATATTTTTATTTTCTAAAGGAAAAGAGTAATTCTCTATCAAATAATAAGGTTTGCAAATATAATGACATAGTGAACATTTTTTACCGTCTTCAAAGTTTTCATAGGAAGCTGAAAGCAGTTTCAAAAAAATAAGTAAAGACAATTATTAGCAATTATTGATGGTCCTTTGTCCTCCCTCACGGTTCACAAAAATAGCGTGAAATTTTTAAGGATTTTATGTACCTAGTAAAAGACTTTGGCAATTACTTAGAGTAGTGAAAATGAGGGGTACCAAAATTAAGCATTGCAAGCCTCAATGCTTACTTTACTGTTTCTCATCTTAATATTAAAATCTTTATAAACATTTGAATCGGGATAGAAATATGACAGTTGTGGCCCCCGTCTCCAGCATAAGGAAAAAAAGTAAAATCTGTAAAATTAACTTGAAGTTCAAATCGAGACCGTAGACTAGCAAACCCTAGCTTGTAATTAAACCTTAACTATTTATTAGGTAAATCTATTTTATAACGTGTGCCGTAACGAATGTACCCTTCACTCAGTTTCAAAACTACTTTCTCCAACGCTTTATTTGTATATAGAAATCTAATAATGTAATGTTGTTGAACATTTTCAACGATGCATAGGAGAAAAGGAAAATAAAACTTAGTTGCTCTGAAAAAAAAATACAATCATATTAACGTAGACCTTTTGTTTCATAGAAGTTCCCTTTCATTTTCGAACTCATGAACCGCTTAAGAGAGTACCCATTACTTTTCATTTTTGAGGAACCATTTTTTCAGAAAAAGAAAATAGTTTACCGTGCAATATCTTATATTTAAACGCTAACAAAAAAGGTACCTATGAAGGTACGCACTTCTACTTGATTTGACGAAAGAAAAATTTTTAATCGTCTAAATATGTTATTTGGATGATTTCTGATATTCTTTGTCATAAAATCGAAACTGCTGAACTGATTTCGTTAAAAAAATTATGGGACTACCACAAACACATCGTCCTTAAGTTTTTAAACAAAAAGTAATTGAAAATCAATCTGGCATTCGCGAAGAAATCGGTGAAAATACACAAAAAAGATACCAGGGCCACCAGACATCTTATTTTCTGATGAACAAAATGTGTTGGATATGGTATTAATACTATGTACTTATATATTATTGTCCAAATTTCCTTTAGTTATAACATCTATCACGACAGGATACGACATCTTAGCGATGTGATTGCGCTATTTCGTTTATTTTTACTATTTCGACAAGAACTTTAATTTATAAATAACGAATGATAAAGAATTATGAATATGGATTTAACAGCAGTGTTTCCAACTTAATCATTTATACACCAAGGCAGGTCCAAGTAGGAAAAGGAAGCGAAATAACGATACAATATTCGCTAAGATGTCGTATACTGTGTACTAGAGTTAAGGCTAGAGAGTTAGGTGGTCGCAACCCTGACTTTAGGGTGTTATTACGAAAAATTAAAAAAAAACAAACTTACATGTATTAGAGTAGGTACTCTAATACATGTAAGTTTGTTTTTTTTTCAAGTAATGTGTTTCACAAGTAATTATTGTGGAACAGGTAATATAATTGCTCTTTACACACAACAATTGACAAATTTCCTTACTAATTTTGAACTTAATTAGCAAAATGTTAAGGCTCAATATAAATTTCTCAATAAACGCAGTCGCGATTACAATGGGGTAGAATTCTATATAAATGGGTATAAGAAAGTCAATACAATTGCCATTTCATATTTATTGAAAATAAACTATTATTATTTTTCTAACTTTTACAAATTAAAAATAAGTTTATTCTTTATAATCATTGGTGTCTTCTAGTTTTCTTTTTTTCCTGTAATATTCAATCCTTTCTTCTAGACTAGCTGAAAAAAAGAGAAAATAAATTTATATAATTATTTATCCATTATTTACTGATTATAGCTATGTCTCTTGAAAACCGAGTGATTAAAAAATAATAATATATTGACGCGACTGAGTGGCTCCAGATTCCATTCCCAGTCAAGACAATGAGGAAAATGAACAGTACTTTTTTATATTAGGGGTGCGACCGCCTTACCTTTTATCCATGATTCTGGCCATAGGCTTTTTCATTTCATTTTACTACTTTGACATGAACTTTAGTAAGGATGAACGAATGTTTAAGAATGATGATTGTAAATATGACAACAGTGTTAAAAAAATAGTATTTTTATCCCAAATTTATACACCAAAACACATGTCAAAGAAGTATGATAAAACTAAATATAAATGTTGTATCTTATGGTTAGATTAATGGCTAGAGAGCTAGACAGTCACTCGGCAGGTCTGGGTGGTTAGATTACAATAATACAAGGGCTTTAGCTACTTAGTTTCGGCGCTTGTTTAATTCTTAATTACTTAGTATTTCACTTAGATATCTTGAATGACCATTAGTTTTCATTTATAACGCTAGCTTTTTATAGACCAAATTCCTGCTATCAATTTTCAACTTAATTTTCAACAGATAAGGTAGCTCGATGGCGTAGAGGATAAGCGCCGCGGCCCGTGATAATCAACTTTCGCAAGGGTCGGTCACGGGATGGGTGATCAAAATATTATTATCTCGAGCTACTCCGTGCTTCGGAAGGCACGTTAAGCCATTGGTCCCGGCTGCATATGTAGTCGTTAATACCCTCCAATCCGCATTGGGCCAGCGTGGAGGGTCATGGCCCATCCTCCTTAACCATCCATAAGAAAGGCCTGAGTCCCTGCAGTGGGGACGTAAAAGGGCTGGTATGCGATGGTGATGAATACATAAATTATTTATAAAAATTTTATGGTTACTATTTGTCCAGCATTAGCTAGACATGATTGGCCTTTTAGTTCGTGTCCTGCATTTTAAAATATCCGGTCCCACTTTTGTTTGTAGAACTAATGCAAGTTACGCAAGGCACAAAGTGTAAAGGACAAATCAGGGCGGCATTAATAAAGAATTCTAACTTGTACTTGTAACAGATATCAGAATATTAATATCCAAAATTAAACATCCAACTTTATAAAATAAGGTAATGTGAAACTGTCCGGTCTTAAACAATGCAGTCAGGCTTTTTTATTTTAAAAGATGGCGACCTTTATTAAAGCGGTCCAATTTTTGTATGTAATTAAAATTAAATCAAATTTTGAGAATTAATAAAAAAGGCAGCATATTTTTAATCATAACGTGATTTAAGGCAATAACACTTTATATGTTACAATATAATTTTCATGTCATCGTTTTCGGTCTAAGTCACATTTTTCTGCCATCTAGTGACAATTATTTGTTTTCTTTCTCTCTTTTTTCCGTCATTCACAGAAAAGCTACTGCTGTAAGTACAGTATTAAGCTGATACTTACAACACGTTTCTCTTTTTAATAGCGGCATATACACCTTAGGCTGCACCCCTTGCAACAAACAATTAGTATAAGCTACAACTCTGTCTTTTTCACTCTGCTCGATATCAGCATCCTTCTCGCTCGCACATATCTTTGCATATTCTTTCTCTAATTGTTGTATAGACTCCTTCAACATAGTTGCCCTGAAAAGAGGATACATTAAAATAATAATTAACCCTTTGAATCTGACGTATATTGTAGACTACTTTTTTTTAATATATCTTATTACTGAGATGAGTAGAGAGTGAGGTAGCGCACTGTTTGCGATTTCATCATTAAAGCAATATAATAAACATAAAGGTGAGATCCCGAAGGTGTGACATTATAAACATAACATGTGCAAAAATGCCCAAGTCCCACAACGCAATTCTTCTGCGGTTTAAAGTAATTTATTTATTTATAAATGGTACACAAACAGATCATAATCAAAAGAGAAACCTAAAAAACATATTTGAAGTAGTTGGACTAGACTATAATCTAAAAACAGTGTACACAGCATGAACAATAACTTCTAGTATACAGTAAAATTTAAATATTCAAATATAGTTACGAAATCATTGTAAACCAAATCGATCAAATCAGAATTTATCTTTCTGTGGAAGCAGCTATCAATCTTTGTCATAGATTGGAGATGGGATTGTCTGAACATTGATGAAAATACGCTCACTGGTAGCGAAAAATAACAAGTGCTTGAAAAATTCGTCAGTGCTGTTGGGTTTCAGGTAGCTGTGGTTAGAATAGTCGCCCGGATAACGAAAGGTCGTTATTTCAAGTCCCATCTCAGGGTACCTGGAAATTATGGATTTTCGAGCATTTTTCATTGGGAATATTTAGCACTGTAACATTGTGAAAATTGATAAAATGTAGTAAAAAGACTATTCCGTTTCCCGTTTCGTTCCGTTTGGGGCACTTAAAATGTTTTATCAGCAAAAATTTAACTTACTTTATATTGTATATAGTCCATTCGCTCTGCAGATGAGCGATCACTGACTTCAGTTCATCTCTTTCATACACCCATTCCTGAACGTTTTCTAAGTCGTAACTGGCATGGAACAAGTTGAGAGGTGTGTCTAGCGCCATATTATATTGTGGTTTTCTAAAACAAAAAACAATGAAAGCTTCAATAGCTTTTACTAGCTGTATGGAAGCTTCAATAGCTTTCATACTAGATGTTAGCTTTCATACTAGCTTTTCCCTCCAGAAGGCCGTAAACGAACTTTATTAAATGACGTCACAGACACATCAACGGTACCGTCAACATAGAAATAATAATTGAGTTTTACTCTGCTTAGCTTGCAATAATTGGACCCACCAACTGGGGCGTAACTACAGGGTGGCAAGACGACAAAATGCCACGGGCCCCCAGCTGGAAGGGGCTCCCGGTCAGAGGAGACTACTTACTCCTCACATAATTTATAACGCAATTAGTAAAAAAAATGAACTTCCGATGAATTTGCCATGGGCATCAAACGGTATAGTTACGCCACTGCCCACCGATGTAATTTCCTGTCGCCAAACGACAAACGTCATTCACAGAATAGAGAGTAAAGAGTAAAGTAATAGTGTGTATAGTAGGCATTTAATAGTTTTGGGATTAAATTTTTCATTAGAAAGTGCAATTTTATAAAATAATACATGGTTGATGTATGTAGGTATAGATGTAAGTAGGAAGGGAATCAACCATTTCGAAAAGACAAAACGTATGGTGCCGAGCTTTGCGTAGTATTCTCTGTTAAAGACGAGTTGGGAGTTAATATTCTTACTGCAAACAAAAACGCGGATAAATTTTGTTGCTAACGGTACTCTAAAGGTCTGCTAGGAGGTGAGGTGTGATGATGGACAGAGGGTGGAAGATGTCAACATGAAGCAAGCCTACCACAATAAAAAAAACTAATTAATAAAAACCTTGAAAAATCAGTCTAATTCCTATCGAGTTTTTAAACACGTTTTTGAAACAAAACTGAATAGCATTTTTCATCTAAGTCATTCTTACCTCTGAATCTTGTCTACATCAAGTAATTCCTTAACTATATCAGGGCTTTCGTCTCCTCGCCCCACCAATATTAGAACACCCATTATACACCTTATTTGATGCCAGAGAAACGCATTCCCTTCAATCAGAAGATAGTACATTGTTGTAGCTGAAACAGGGTTTGAAAAAAAAAAAACGATTTTTATTATTAAAATCATAAATCCGATAGTCTCATTTTTATACATTATATTAGTAAAATTATAAGTATTATTACTACTAAAATACCTAATCAATTTAACCATGTTTTAAAATACAACTGGATATATTCAGCATTGTTTAATCCCTCCCCCTATTATATACTAAGGGGTATCACTAAGGGGGTGCCCTTAGTGATACATGGTGAAGTTTAAGACTACCCCCCTTGCTCCACCCAAATCCTCTTTCGAGTACCTACAAACAATCTTTATTTTAGACGCCGCTTAAAATAAATAAACGTGATGTATTACTTTTTTGACGAACCCGTTCCTCCCCTTTCGAGCCTTAGGCGATTAATGGACAACTTTTAATGCATATCAATATGTATTAATATCGTCAAACGCTGAGCTCAAATAAATAAGGTTGAAAATGGCTTTTAAATAAGCAAAATTTTGTGAGAAAAAATTTAATATTTCAAGATTATACTGTGGATTATACTCCTTTACAGCGAGGATTGTTTTTATAAGACGAATATATGTTATCAAATTCCTTATGCATTTAATGAACAAAAAGATGTATTCTTTTATTATTCTTATTATTTTATTTTATGGATATAAATGTAAGATTTTACTCACGATCTTCGATTTCTTTTTCTACAGGCAGCACATTAGCTTTAAATATATTCCGCGTGAACTCAGTGACTCCATTTCCGACGTCCATCTTGCATAAGTGGCGGAAGTCGTGCGAGCCGACAAGATGGCCGCAAGCAACTCTCATCGAGTTTATATCGAGTGAAGAGCGCGGGAAATAATATTTATATTGGCGTGTTTTACAGCTAAACCTGATATGAAGATTGAACATAAGTTAATTTTTAACACTGGAGCAAATAATAATAGTGGATTATAAAATATGTTGTTTGAAGCTTCATAATGAAAAAATTACACACCTTGCACTGTATTCTGATTCATCCTCAGGTATTGGCATCCAAGCCACTACTCTAATCTCCTTGGGCAGCAGACGGTTCAGGATCTTGCAGTACGGCATCTCTGAAGATATTGATGATGGATGATGCTGATCATCTGGAGAATGTTTACTTCTAATAGATATAGATATCACCTGAAACATATAATGCAGTCACAACTACAGTCTGTCAGGCTATACAAAATTGTCAAGTCTCTCCACTTAATTTTATACCTTAATGCATTGTAGGAAATTTGATAAGATTTATTTTAAAAATTCTTTTACCTTCGGGAAGCTACATCATACCCAGATGACATCGAATATAATTTACGCTGAAAAAGTCGTGGACTTCAACTAGTAAAATATAGCTCGGTGGCTATATTAGTATCACAGCCACGCGATCGTTATTATTAAGCAACTTTTGCAGAGTCACTTACATGATGGGTGACCAAAAAATTACTATGTCGAACTACTCCATACTTCGGAAGGCATGTAAAGCCATTGGTCCCAGCTGTATTTGCAATCTCTTATCCGCATTGGGCCAGCATGGAGACATGGCCGATCCTCAACCATCCATAAGGAAGGCCTAAGCCCCTGCAGCAGGGACGTAAAAGGGCTATATGATGATAATATTAAAAAAATATAACCTGTCCGAAAGCACTAACTCCCTTATCTGTTCTACCACATCTGTGGTATTGTGATCTTTCCCTGTTCTGTATCAAACATGATTTTGTTAATGCATGGAACAAGTGATGCTCTATTGTTTGCGATGAGTCTTCTTGAACAGCAAGCCCTTGGTAATCCCATCCAAAGTACAATATTCGAAGTAAGACATGGCGATAATAGCATCTATAAAAAAATTGCATCTGTACATTAGTATGTTATTATATTATAAACACAATTACTACTTGCTAATGAACTTTAGATTAAAAAATAAATATATAGTATCTGAATCATATTGCTGTGATAAATAAAAAAATAAATTACTTTATGATTCTCACAAACAAGGCAATTTAATTACATTTGTCAAGTTGCAGAGCCATGCAATAAACAACATTTTATGTTTTAACAGTATTATATTTAGGTGAATGTATCCGAATATTGTAATTGGCATTTTGCAAGAATATTTATTAGATATTCTTTATGGGTACATAATTGCTTTACTTGTTGATAGTTTGTTTTGATTTAATGTTTTATATGCTTGTGTTGGACATTTAAGTGTATTTTACATCTATTTTGACATATAATGTAGACATAGACGTAATACCTAGACATATTTGTATGTTTATATACCTACTTCTCAAAATATTTAGATAATAGAAATATTTAAGTATCAATTTTTATAACATTGTTATGGAGCCTCTCACTTCTTTTTCAGATATATTATTTGTGATATTGCAAAAACATACTTGTAGGCCACAGTTTGTCAATGTATATACATGAACATTTTTTTAAGCACAGCTCTGTATAAATTTTGGTATAGAGTTCTTACTGTTAGGAGTCCACAACAGGAGTTATGGATTATATTATATATAGGTACAGCATCATGCAAAGACAAATGATTACATCAGAAAGTCTCATGCATTATTAGAAGACTTATTTTAGCCTCTTTCTCCTTTACTGACAAAAACTTATATATAGTCATAGATTGAGAAGTTTCACCTCTATATAATCAAAATATGGAAAATTTACAAAACTAGGAAGATATATGACTTTTTATATTTAAATCCTAAACAATAATGACATTTGAAAATTATAGAGTATAAAGGTTTCTCAAAAATGTTATTGTAATATTTCTAGATAAATAAAAAAAAAAGATTTTATTCTTGCAACTAACATGATCAAAATTCATGTTTAATAATTTTCATTTAGAAAACCAACTTATTCAATAGAAATTTTAGATTTCTTAGATTTTCTATCAGCCGCAACCCTAGAGATATAAAAACCTTCAATATCTCAAGACTTGTCATAGGATATGTACAATAACTACAATACTTTATACCAATATACATATCTCTTACTTTGCAAAGTCAAATTTTCTTTTGTTGTTCTCAGATTCATTTTTAGTAACGTCAGACGTATTTTTGGTAATTATATTTTTCAGTTGTGCATTATGTGCTTCTAACTGTAGTATCTTATCAACCAAATCCTGGAAAATAATTTTGTACAATAATTTTGTGTTAGTATGTTAAAATACAATTTAAAAGTTTTTAAAGAGAACCGACACTTTTGTCCAAGTTCAATAATTCTTCTCGACATATTATTTTACTTTTCTTGGATTTCGGTGGCAGTTTTGCCATAATGAACATATAAAAAATTAGAACTTTCTCAATTAAATTACAAACCAAAAGTTTTATTCAGTTTTATTTACTAAAAGAAAATGACAGATATATGGATGCATGACGTATAGGAAAAACGATAAATATCGTTATTGAGTTTCATAAAAATATCGATATGTATTGATATCGAAGAAACCATAATATAAACATATCGATATCGAAAATATCAATGTATCAAATCAATATATCGAAATGCGATATTACAATAATTAATATTTCTTAATACAATACAAAATATTTCTTCTTGTATGCTAAATCAAGGTATTATTGTATGTAATAATGTATTAAATGTTGGTAAATCAAAATAAATAAAAATGTCAATATATTAATATCGATAATGTTTTATTAACTTTGCATTCCTATTCCTAGACAAATGTTCCCTTTTTGTTTTATAAGATAAGTTAACAAAAGTGATCTGCCTAAAAATAGTCAATGTAGTACAGCACGTCAGGTTATACTAATCAGTGAAATTTTCCCACTTTAATTTAAAATTTGAGTTTTAAAGTCATCTGTAGAAATTTGACATATTATGGTAACATGTGTCATTATGTGCAACCGTGTGTACAATCTCATTACTATTTTATGAAATTATTGATTTTGATCATTGATAAATTGACAAGTCGTATAAATCAATAAATATGAATAAATTTAAATTACTAAGTTATTATTTTATGTGTATATTTTATTAGCCATGTATTAAATATTTTAAGATTACTCTGAGATCACCAGATATGTATCATAAATACAATATATTGATGTTTCATTTAATTTCAGGCTAAATAAAATTGTTTCGAAAGATTTATGCCATTTAAAGGGAAACCAGGCTATAAAATTGAGTTTACTAATCGTTATGTTTTTTAATTTGCCCATCCCTTTTGAGCAGCTAACTAGAGGTGATTAAATTAGCTTTAAGCGCGTTAATTTAAAACGTCTATTATACTTAGAGCTTAACGCTGTTAAGTATGAACACGTTATGAAGTTAAAATTTAAAAAAAATGAGCGAGCAGTATTCTCGTTAGCGCGAATGCTAATGGACGCGTTAACGATATACTCTCGTTATATATGATCGTGTATTATTAACATAGTTTAGTTAGTAAATATTTTTAATTGTTTAAATTAAAGGGCGATTTTGTGAGTAAAATAAAAATATGTTAAGAAAAATTTAAAGTTTTAATTAAATATTAATTAATGTATATTTTGGGACATGATAAATACGTGTATATGATAAAAATGATAATATTAATAAAAATAAGGAGAAATTTTAATGAAGGACATAAAATTGTATTATGTGCAGATAACAATTATAGATAAGTAATTCATTTAATGTTATTTCATATATATTGGAATAAAATATTGTTTACTATAAGCACGCACTCAGTTCAAAGATCGACATAACAATATAACGTACTACAAGGTTAAGTGTACTGTTTGATTTAATGCCCCTTTTTATTATGTACTTAGCGCGTTAACACATTATCGCATTAATTAGCACGCTAATTTTTTCTTAACATTTAGTCTTCAGCGAATTAATGTATTTTAGTCGTCTTAAACAACTCTACAGCTTATTCACGCTATGGATCATTATCCGTTTTTAAATCACGTAACGCAACCATTATCGGATCGCCAATCACCGATATCAAACTTTTGATAACTAGTTATTTCCACAACGATATAGTCAAAGCAAGCTCAATTTCAAGCAAGCTCAAGTAGCTCGGTGGCGTAGACGATAAGCGCCGCGGCCCGCGATCGTTGTTGTTAAGCAACTTTCGCAAGGGTCGGTCACGGGATGGGTGACCAAAAAATTATTATCTCGAGCTACTTCGTGCTTCGGACGGCACGATAAGCCGTTGGTCCCGGCTGCATTTGCAGTCGTTGATATCCGTTTCTAAATAATATTTCTGAAACGAGTTTTAAAAAAGGATTTTGAAATTATTTTTTATAATAATAAATAATCTGCCATCCGTGGAGCTCGAAATAAAGTTCTACCATGAAAATTTATTGTGCTGGAATTACTACAACGCAAATGTATGAATAAATAATATTGACTCTTTTTTATTAATTAAATAAAAAAACTACATCATCAAACAATGAATCTTAAAAAAAACGAGTTTTAGTCGATTTTCGAAAGTTTTTTGATTACTATAAATTTTTATTATGCATTATTTGATTTTACTAAAATTGTTTTTAAATTGACCTTTAAAATTATCATGTTAATATTAAAAAAAAATATGTGATGAACGAGAAAAAGCTTTTTATATTTATTTCTGAATTTTGAGTAGAACAACAACTTGGAAAAACCGGACCCCGTCTTGTCCGTCTGTCTGACAAGATACTTTTTCTCAGGAACGCGTGAAGATATCAAGCTGAAATTTATATCAAATACTCAAGTCTACTGTCCCTTAGAGCCACGAAAAAAATTTAAATTGAAGCCAACGTAATCACAAGATACAGCCTACAGACCTACAGGGTACTTCCCGTTACATTCCCTCAGAATCTTCTCTGAGCTACTTATAAATTATCAATATATAAATTATATTTTTAAGTAATTCGGTGGTGTAGTGGATAAATGTCGTGCGGTCGTTGTTGTTAAGCAATCTTCGCAAGGATTCTTCCACTGGATTTCCATCACGGGATGGGTGACGAAAACATTATTAGCTCAAGCTACTCTGTGCTTCGAAGGGCACGTTAAGTCGTTGGTCCTAGCTGCATTTGCAGTCATTTCAAATCTGCATTGGGCCAGCGTGTAGGATCATGGCCCATCCTCCTTAACCATAAGTGGGGACGTGGGGACTGCTGATGATGATAATGAAATATAATATCTGCGAGTTACGCATAGTTGTCATCGGAGAGCAATTTATTTTTTATTTAAATATCAAAAAGATATTATATTTCTAGACTTATGATTTGTTTTCTGTAGTGTTGTAGTTTCTAGAGTTAAATAGAAAAAGCGGTGAGTTTTGGTGAATTTTTCACATTTAATAATTTTCCGTATATAAGAGAAATAATGAAAAAAAATAGAAAAAGCGGTGAATTTTGGTGAATTTTTCACAATTTAGGCGGTCAAGGTGCAACTAGGCCTTTAGAAAAAAGAAACTGTTTATTTCCAATATACACGAGAATATATGTGTTATACACAAAACAGTGATCTTATATTATAAATGTTTTATCATTTTTGATTACGACTCATTTTAACGATATATACAAAACTAATATTTTTCCTTTTGTAAAAATTGTATCTTTTTTATTTATCATCAATAACATTTCACAATTAATAAAATACATTTCCAAACACATTACAAACCACTAAGATTTTAATATATCTGCCATAGTTCACTATGTACCTAATTGTTAGTTTACATGTTATTCTTTTGTTCAATGATATGCCTGTTGTAACTGCTTATGACTTGAAAAATATACAAAATGCTGGATTCACCCTTGCTTCTTTCTTATATTTTCACAGAAAAAGAGGATTCTCTTTCAAAAAAAAAAGAGAAAGAGGTTTCACTTTCAATAAAAAAAAGAGAAATAAGTTTCTCTTTCAATAAAAAAAGGATAAGATAAAAGACAACATTTAACGTTACGTGCGTAAGTGGATCCATTGTATTTTTGGATGACTTTGCTTTATTAAAAAACCTTAATTATAACGTATGGACACTAATGGCATTGTTAATTAAACACGGTCTATTTCCGTCTGCCGATATAAAATATTTATGGTTGACATATCCAAACCCCAAACCCACGCATGTAAAATGACAGGTAAGTTTTCAAATAAAAAAACAAACAGTTTTCCCCCAAATCTAACTTCTAAGTCTCAAATAATAAGTGTTAAATTAGTAATGTATATGACAATAATACGATATTGATAGTGCTGTATGTTATTTTTGTACCGTCGAAGGTTTCATTGATCAAGTGGTACTTACAGTAATCAAAAAATATTATTATTTATTGTGGAAAAGGACCCCGCCCTTGCCTTATGGAAATTGGCTTTCTGTTAAATCGGATGAAACTATGATGAATGGATAGAGGAAGTCTTCCTGAGTAAAAGTCCTCATGGGCACTAAGCCCGAAAATCGAAACTTTTAGTACTTTTGGGCATTCGAAGTTTTTGATTTTGGATTCTAGCAAAATCAATAAATCCTTGTAGAATCGGCCCAAAGTTCAATTAGACATAAAAGAAAAAATACGTATCGAATATTTTTTCAAGACCTTTCGAACGACACCCTATTTGACCCCCCCCCCCACTCCCCCACCTACGGGGGTGGAAGGGGAGCGGTTTTTTGCGAAAAAGTTCTTTTATCTCTTCTCTTCCTCCGCCCCCGCGTGTGGTGGGTGGGTGAGGGGGGGGGGGGGTCGATCGGGCACGGCTCAAGTGTTCCGTCAATCATGAGGCCATTATAACATTATAAAAGAACTAACTAACAGCGTCAAATTCGACGTTGAGCAAAGCAATGTCACAGCATAGCAAAACCTACTTAAGATAATAAGTGTTTTATTTCATTGAAGCTGTAAGCAGTCACTGCGCTGAATTCGCGGCACTGTTTTTAAAAGAACAGCATAGGTGATCCCATGCTTAGGTGTAACTAAATCTGATGTCATTACGAAAGTTTCACAACACCCAGAATCGAGACGATATAGAAAAGTCCATTTTCTACATTGACCCGATCGTTAATCGCACCCTCTTGGCATCTCTGAAGTCCCTCCAGAGATGCCAACACCTTGAAACGGGCGTGTGAGCCATTCAAGCCGGTATCAGGATGTTGTTCCAATAAATAATCTTTTGTTTATTTATAAACTGTCAGTTCCACCGCCAAAATAATTGATTCGAAAACGGGTGATAAGTTCAGTAGACTTTGTTTTTAAATTTTTATTTACAAGAACGTTTACATACTCTTTAGTAAAAAGAAATCAAACAACTCAAAATCTACACCACCACAAACTTTGACTTGGCTATGAAATTGTAC